AAGGTTGAGGAACCAGAAAAGGAGACTGACAATGAGAGGCCAATGAGGTGGAAGAAGCTTCAGGTACGTATGATGCTAAGGAAGCCAAGAGAAAAGAGCGTTTCAAAAAGGAGAGAGTTGTCACCTTTGTCAGATGCTGCTGTGAAGTTAAAACAAAAGATGTCATCCACTGCACTTGGAAAGATGAAAGTCACTGGTGATCTTCCCAATATCAGTTTGAGGAGAGCGATGGGGAATAAATCTCTACTGAGAGAATGTGAGGGAGAAAGGAGAAATAGCAAATAAAGACAACTGAAGCAAATGCAGCTCCCCTGATTAAAAGTAATCAGAGGCTGGCCATTCTTCTCATGCCCTTTAAAATAAAGTTCAAACTCTTTACCTTAGGATATGATGCTCTCCACTATCTGGGCTCCTGCTACTTCAGTAATTATATCACCCAACCTGACTTTTCCTCCTACTACTGTAAGTACTTGCAACTCTAATGTGAGTCATGAAGTCTCTTCCCTCACATATCCAGCCCTCTCTAGGTTACTTTTTGTCCTTTCCAACATGGAGCAAAACTCTTACAGATCCTTCAGTGCCCTTCAAGTATTACCACATCTGAGTACCATCTCTGCCACATGACTTACTCTCTTCTTAGGGTCTCCGTTGCCACCTGCCGCTCTACACAGTCTTTGATTTGACTGCAGCACACCTCTCCTCTCCTCCTCCAACACAAACACACACAACAGGCCAACGATAAATTTTGAAGCTTGGGGTCACGTCTAGGAGGTTTGGTCTGGGTGCTTGCCATAAGATCTTGTACAGAGTAGCGTTCTCTAAGTGCTTGCTAAACAAAAGTTTCTAAAATGCAAATCTGATTCTGTCAATTTCCTACTTAAAATTTTGCAACATATTCTTCAATAGAATAAAATACCAAACACACTGACATGTCATATAAACCCTCGTTCTTATCTCTCCAGCATCATTCCTCCCCACCTCAGGCTGATCCTCCTGCCTCCCACCCCTCACACATGCGCATACTGGGTGTTCTGCTCGCATCAAACCATCTCCAGGACAGCTGTTCTCAGGCCTCTGGTACTTTGATGCATGTTGCTGACATTTCTTGCAAGGTCTTGAAGAACAATCTCAACGGTGACCTCTGCTCTGAGGTTTTTCCAGACTCCCCTCTCCCTACTCCCAGCAGCACTAGACACTTTCCTTTGTTTCCAGAGCCCCCTGTCAATAACTATTATTGCACTTACCACATTCGCCCCTTTATTATCTGCCTTTCCCACTAGACTGCAAGCTCCCTCGGGCAGGAACTTTGTGTAGTTCATCTTTGTTTCTCTAGCCCCTAGCACAGTGCCTAGCAAATAGGAAGTACACACTTGATGAATATTTTGCTTTAAATTCTTTGATCTAAAGGTGTTTGCAAAGTTTAAAATATAGCTTAAGTTTATTTTTTATCACTAGGAATAATTTGTAGGTGATGACTTCTTAAAGTGCAGAAATGCAGAAAAAAGAATGAGCTCACATAATCAGGAATAGAAGGGTCAGGCTATGAATTCTTAAGATGTGTGTTAGTCCACATCTTCTTGTGGAAAAGAGTTACACTGATGAATAACTGATCACATTAGTCATTTGCTCCATTCAGAATGAGGTGAATAAATGCCAGGTTTAGAGAGCATCTTCAATTCACATTTGCATTCTGAAGAATTAGCCACTCAGGGCAACTATTTTTATTTCCCTTCATTTCCTTCCACATTTTGAGACTATTTAAAAGTTTTCAAAGGGAGTGCTATGGATATGGTCTTTTTATTTCAAACTATTTTACAAGTCAAAACGGTTTGTAGCCTCTCTCAGGCCTTCTTGCAACATGGGATCTATATTTTTCTTCTTGAACTTTGTGTGCTTTTTTCTATAACCTTTTCCTCATATTTTTCCATGATAATGGGCCCCACCTTTAGATATTTAAGTCCCTCTAGAGTGACAAGAAGAATATCAATTATTTCAATGAGAAGCAAATATGAGAACTGCATAAATTTAGGAGACGGTGTTGTGTTATCATAATTTGAGATGACTAGTTGATAGCAGCACTTTAGAATTCACAAGAGCGAGAGGCGAGTATCAGCCTCGTGTTTTAAGTGTGTGTCACTCAGGCCAGAAGCTGAACTCTTCCTTCTGTGCCTTGGCTTTAAGAGTGGAATCGCGGAGTCATAGAATCTCCAGACTGCAAAGGACTCAGCGGACATTGAGTCCAACTCCTTGATGTGAATGAACCCCCGCTACAACATCCCTAATAAATGCCTCTTCATTCTCTCCTTGAACCCCTTCATGACAGTGAACTTACCACCTCCCTCCAACGCTTCAGGTAAAAATAAATGTGTCTCATTACATTTGAGACAGATTTTCCACCTTCTATAAGAATAGTGATTTTTAGCATTGTGGAACCTACCACTTTGATTAGTATGACTCACATGTCTTTTATCTATTTTGCGTATGAGGAAGGGAGGAAAAGGCAATTAGGAAACACGCAAGGCTTTCCTTTCTATTTGCCTGTCTTCCCATATACTGCCTTTTTCCAGAAAGGATCTTAAATGAAGTGACTTAAAATGCCTGGATGCAATAGGGTTATTAAAATGGAAATAGAAATTCAAAGTCCTGCAAAGAAATTCTTGACTCAAAGGCTAATGTACTTGCTGGCATTGAAATTAAAGTTATCAGTGGGCTTTCTACGAGTCAGTATAAAAGGAGGAACATAGTGAATTATACAGTTCTCCTTATCTAACAGAAAAAAGTATACTAATTCTCCATTAAATGAAGTTTTTTCTTAGTTCCAAATTACAAGAGGAGCTTCTCGTGTAGCATCTTATAAAAGAGCTTTATTTCTTAGTTTTCCATGCATATTTATTTTCACCCTCTAATGTCCTGCCAGGAATAGTGCTGAACACCCATTAAACTTTTACAAACCTCACGACCTCAATCTAATCCTAACCAACATTTAAAAAATTCTGTTGAATATAGGGGACCAAGCATGGGTGCTGGAAAATTACTTTTCCAAACGGGGCTGGGGAAACACATTAAGCTACCAAAGTCACCTTTCTTTGCTCAATATTATGGGGCAATAGCTCCCATATGCCCAGTTCTTAGATAGGAGCAAATGAGAACCTGAGTTCATCTCTCCTGTGGCATTATCATCAATCCTTCACCTCTTGTGGAAACAGCTACAGTTGGGTGATCACTAGGCACAAAACGATGTCCTTGTGCACTGAGAGAGGTGAACAGAACAGGGTGGGTGACCAGCAGGGCATCTGCCTGAATGTCTGATAAGATTTTGGATCCTTCAGAAGGAAAGTGACACTTTGTAAGCAAAAGGTGTTATTAAAGCTGGCCCTGCTGTTAGAGGTAATGTGAAGAATTTGGGGTTTCTTACTTGCTCCTTAAACACTCCAATTATTTTCCCAGGAAGGGCATTGTATAACCCTACAGCCTGGAAAGTTACTCACGGGCCAACTGTGTCTTCCTGTAGTTAGACCCTTGTGGTTTTACAATACTTTCCTCTGTTCTTGGATTGAAGAGTGGGGGAGGTATGCCCACATAATGACCATTTCACCTGTGAAGGCCTGTCATGTTTAGGGCTCCACAAAAGGCCTTCGGTACAAATAAACTACTTTCCTCACAGTGATTGGTACAGTTGTAGCCCAGACTTAAGCTGGACTACCTGGTTCTATTACTAAATTCTACATAACTAAAGACAGAGAGATCTCACCTTCTTCCCCGCACCTAAGCCAGCCAGACCTAACTCTGCCTTCTTCTCTGTGGCTAGAACAGGCACGCCTGTAATCTGTATTGTTTCCATCCAAACGTGGCAGCTCATTTATTATTATTATTATTATCATCATTATCATTATTACTGTTGAATCTAAATTATATCTAGGGGTCCCTTGAGGCCAACTAGCTAGATTCAATTCTCATAAGTTAGCTATTATAAAATGAATACAAGTATCACGAGGGAACCTCCATATTGAATGCGGCTATTTGTACACTGGACAACAAAACGTATTCATGGTGTCACCACGGAGAGAATGAGAGAAATTTCAGGCTTATTCTAAGTAAGGCATCAGTCTATCTCTGAATGAGTAACCCAAAATAAATGACTTGGCTTTTTAGAGGATTAGAATAAACTGAATACACATTCGTTTAAAGCTGGGATATTATAGGGTCATAACAGTGAATGCTGGTGGTTGGCACGTGCAAACAAGCATGCTGATCGTTGTTCCACTTCACCATTTATTATGACATACAACTGCCAGGGATCAAAGTCAAAGCTAAGCAAAAACCAGCTACCAACAGCATAATCTTCTCTTTATTTTTAGCCATTCTACTTCACAAACTCCCTTTTGACTAGCAGGAAGCCTGGGAATAGAGGGTAAAAAATAATAATAAAAGAGGCTTATGAATTACTGGATAATTTTCAAATGCCATACAACCTTGAGGGAGAAGCACAGTTGAGACAAGTACATATTTCTCCAGAGCATTTTAAAAGATCCTAAAGTGGTATGTGATGCTTTGGTGAATGGTTGTCTCTGAGAAAGCTCTCTGCTTTGGGGAGCTGAGTTGCACAAATACTTGATGTGGAATAAGTTGGTATAGCAGCTCTGCATTGCGGTGGCGAATCACAGAGGAAACAGGCGCATCAAACAACTACTGACTGTGTTTGTGTCTCCACACAGTGGTTATATCTTCTAAAGCATTTTTTGGCTTCTCTTTTTGAGAAATACAAACTCTTCAGTCTACTAACTTAAGGCAGTTCATTTGCTGAACAGAAGAGAATATTGATGACTCATGGAAAGATTCATTCTCTGTACTTCCCCTGTGTAAATAAGGTGACATGTAGGCTAAAAATAAGTCATTTCCCCTTCAGAGTAGACACAATTCTCCTCTGACCAGAATATGGTACCAAAAAATAAGCTTTCTATTTTTGTTAAAAATATATTTACAAGAAAAGAATTGCTTACCTGTCGGCAACAGGGCCCTTGAAATCTGGATCAAATGTCCTTGGAGAACCTGCGTTTAAAACAAACATCTTTTTAAGCATATAAGCCAAAGAAATGGCAGAAAAATACATATAAAATATTAATTCAGAAAAATCTACATATTAGCTAGTCCATTACTCAGTGCAGTGTTGGATTCAATCTTTGGTCCAGTGAAATATCAGTTATGTTTTGGTTCTAGCTGCCATTCCTTTTCCTTCTCTCCAGCAAGAAGCAAAACTGGGAAGAGTTGTTAAGGACCTTATTCTACGCACATGTACACATATCCTCCCACTGTTCTGAATAACAATGCTCTAGATTGCATCCAGGGTAGCACAACTTGAAGCCCTTCCAGCGTGAAAAACCGTTCTGCCATCTGCCATCGTCAAGTATCGCTGAGTACTCATGAAGTGCACAGTATAATAGAGATACCTGCTTATCCCAGTTCCCCCTTTCCTCTTAGTAGTAGTAGGCTTTCCTTGGAGAAGGTGGAATAGGTCGGCCTCTGCCCTGTTGGCTATATAGTATATACAGTATTATTATATTATATAAGTGTTATTTTTTATTGATTTTTTAAGATCTATTGGCAGACTTCATGCCATCTGGGGAGATGCTCTGGTCATTCATTGTTGCATCATGATTGCAGTACCTGACCCCTGTCTTTAAACAGTATGAGGTACACATAGAATGCCCCTCCCCAACCATGTACTGTGTGGGCAGACATAGTAACAAGTTCTGTAAAATCATTTCTGACCAAAAGTCTGTATTTTGCAACCCCCAACTCCCTGACTCTTTTCCCCAAATCTAAGGACTTCCACCCCTTCCTCTAGGGATTTGTTCTTGTAACAAGGCCTGGTCCTGAATTTAGGACAGAATTTCAAAAAGGATGGGCAGAAAGAGCCCTGTGTGTCAGCAACCTGTCTGTGCCTGTACTCAATGGGGATATCAGGTCTGAGGACTCAGAGGTCTTTAGTGTAATCACGCGCTGAGGGCGGAACAGGATGGTAAGGACAGACTTGCAACAGAAATCCAAGAGCCAGTCATTCAGCCACTATTCATAAAGCACCTATTATGTGCTGAGAGCTCTGAGGGAACAGAGAAGATATACAAGGCCTGGTCCCTATCTTGAAGACCTAACAGTTGGTGGGGCGAGATCAACTTATTGATTCATTCAACAAATATTTCTTGAGAATCTTTATATACCAGGCCCTGTGCTGCAACACAGGAACAATGAATATACCATATAAAACAATTAATAAAGTACTAAATTGTGAGGTATCAGCCTTAAGTGTTATAGAGTTCTGAGAAAGTAGGTTTCTCCAAGAACTAGAGCAGTCGAGAAGGTTTCATTCAAGAAGTGAGATTTTTGCAAAAGACTGAAACAAAACAAAAGAGAAAGAAGAAACATTCCAGGTGGGTGAAACTAGAATCCTGTTATTCAGTAACTAGTTATTGATCACCGGATATGTGTTCTGCACTGAAAGAGGCACTGCAGGGAATACAAGGTTAGTGTAGCACAGGCTCTGTCTTCAACAAGCTAATGAACTGGAGAGCAGGGAGAGAAATAAGAAAAGTACAGAAATCACTGTAATACAAGGCAGAATATGACACCCTAAGAGTGTAATGCAAGGTAGAGCATGATGGCAGAAGAGGGGCACAGAGAAAGTGTTAGGAGAGTTTCAAGGAAGAAGAAGCTCACATTCAGTTGAGATTAGTAAGGAAGGGTTCCCGGAGCCACAATATTTTGAGATGGACAAGTAAAAGTAAAACCTGAGAGATGAATGAAGCCACAGAGGGAGGAATAAATAGCACGTTGTGGGGATGGTGAAAAGACCAGCCTGATTGGAGTAATGGATAATGGGATAGGAGAAGGAGGAAGTAAAGCTGAGTAGAGCGTATAGTATCAGACCACAGAAAGCCTAAAAAGCCAGAGATGGAAACTACATTATACATCCAAGGCCACGGGGAGCCATAGAAGGATTTTGAACAAAGGAAAGACCTGGTAGAAGCAGTGCTTAAGGAAGAGCAATCTAGCAGCGGTCTGTAAGTTGTATTATAAAGTACAAAGTCAAAGAGACAAAGTAGGAATCTATTGCAATAATAGAGGTGAAGCAATTGAGCCACTGCCCAAGTGGTTGTGAAAGCAATGGAAAGAGAGGTTCAAGGCTCATCACAGAGTGGACATGTGGCTTAAGGGTTAGGAGCAATGACTCTGGAGTCAGACTGCCTGCTCTCTCTTGTTTCACAGCAGAGTGAGCCTAGATAGTTCATTTCGCTTCTCTGAGTCTAGGTTTCCACATCTGTAAAAGGACACATTAATAGTATCTATGCCATAAAGTTGTTATGAGGATTAAATGAATTAATACCTGTAAAAGTACTCAGAACAGTGTCTGGAACTTAGGAAGCCCCCAGGGAATGTTCGTTATTAGTCATATAATCACATGAAAAAGATAAATAGAAAATGATGAATGATAAGACGGAGCCTAAAAGAGAAAAGTCAAAGATGGCTCCAAATCATATAGATATAGACTAGACTAATCATGTGACTATAAGACCTAGAAATTGTGATCCTCAATCACTTTTGGTCTTTTACCTAGGGTTAAAGGAGGGTTGACGTCATTAAAACAGTTGGGAACATTAGTAGGTGGAAGAAATTGTAGCAACGTTATAGGAAAAAGAGCATGAGATCGATTTTGCCCTTTTTGAGGTTGAAATGATATCTAATTGAAAATCCAGCATTCAACTGGAGTTAAGAAACTGGAACCTTGGGTCAAGTCTTGAGATAAATATTTGGAAAACATAAAGTTTATATCATTAAAAGTGCTGAACTCCATAAAGAAGAACATCAGGATCTGCAATAACAAAAATAATATTTAACATGCTTTCAGCATTAAATGTTAAGCACTGAACTAAGTGCTTTACATGCATTATTTTGTTTACTTTGATGCAATAACCTTAGTAAGTCGGAAATTATTATTAGCCTCACCTGACATACGTGAGAAACAAAGCATGGAGAGACGAAGGAACACCCATAGTTGTACAGGTGATTACTGATCCACCTGGGATCCGCACTTTGCCTGGTCTTATGGCAGCAGAACAGATCCCGTTGGTCATACCTGCAATGCCAACGTTGCTTCCGACTCCAGAGGGAAGTGTGTAAAGTGTTTCCTGTTTGAGACAGTCCTTACACACCTCAGTGTCAAGTTCTCAGATACACTGTCAGCTTCTGTTTGTCTGACTGCTTGTCTGACCCTGCCTCATGGCCACAAACACTTTTTGGGCTGTCTAATCCCCCTTTCTCTAGGAACTGGCCTTCTCTCTAATCCACAGGAGTGAGATACTAGCAGCCAGTTTCTCCCAGTTGCCTCTTCCCTGGCCATCAGTGACTGAATCTGGTTTGGACACTAGATTCAAGATTCAAGCTGGGCTAGTCATTCCTGGCCACTCTGTCTCAGGAATTTAGACTTAGAATGGACAGGGAGTTAGTCAGTGGGAGATTAAAACTGCAAAATATAAAGCTTAAAGACCAGAGTAGCAGAGAAAGCTGACTTTCAGAAGGCAATTACTGAAGCAAATGTACAAAGAGAAGCAGAGATAGAAGTCCTGATGGACTTTAACTTCCTGTTCCGGTCCCTACCTGAGTTTCATGAGATACCTTGTATCTTTATACTAAATTTCCCTTTCTTGCATTTTGCTAGTTCACGTCAGTTATGGGCAACCAAAGAGTAGCATTAACATACTCATTCTCTTGTCCTGACTTAGGTTTCAACAATTCATTTTAATAACATTATTATGTTCTTGCCATAAACAGGTGATGGAATTCAAGGATGAATTCTTGAGACTAAGTCTCCCTTCAAGAATCTCACAGCTGAATAATCTCACAGTTGAATAAGAAGTAGAAGTTCAAGACTGTAATTTTAACATTGTGTGTCTCTATCCGTGATAGAGACAAGCAGCGGGTACCATGGGGCCCAGAGGGGGTCCAGAATGGATAGGTTTCTCTAGCTCCTGACTGATGCTGAACTTGGGCTCCACTTCCTACCCACCCTCTGGCTCCTGTGTTCTTTGACTTGGATCTTCCATTCTCATGTGGAACATTAGTGTTGGTATTCTCCCTTGCTCCAGATTTCAGTTCCCAAATCTGGCTGAACAGCTGAAATATCTCAAAAACTTTTGACGGTTCAAGTTTCCTGCCCCTCCACACCAAATACTACAATTCTGTAGATCTGGAGTAGGCCTGAAAAATCTGTATTTTTAATTGTCCCATCAGATAATTCTGATGCACAGATATGTAGACCACCAGGCTACCTGATTTCCTTCTGAATTTCATTCTTAACCTCTATCTCAGTTTATATACAGTCCTTAATTCTAGCTGTACATAACAGACCAAACCTGATAAAGTTAGAGAAAAGCAGATCAACATGATGTGTATGAACTTTGGGAAACAGCACAATTAAAGGTAAGAGGTAAAATGAAATAGTTACAGGAAGAGAAATAGAAAAGTGACATTCAAGAAAGCCAAAGAATTTCAAGAAAGAGGGAAGATTATAAATTCCACAGAAAAATGATTATTAAGTGAATGTTTATTCATACCAGGGACTACTGCAAATGCTTTGCACACAGATCTGCCATTTTGTTCAATTCCATATAGAACAAAATGTGAATTGTACCCCCTTGAGCTGTGCAACACAATAGCCTTGGTACATTTATTATGTCATTTAATGCTCCCAATAACTCTGTGATTTATATCATTGCTATCATTCCATTTTACATATGAGGAAGCTGAGACACAGAAGGGTGAGCTAATTTGTCCTAGCCCACTCAGCTAACAAGAAATAGAGGTGGGATTAGAAGGCAGACAGTCTGACCCCAAAGGCTGAGCTGAGCCACTTGGCAGAAAATTGCTCATTGGTGATATAGAGAAATTCTACAGATGAGTGGGGGGAAGAGGCAGTTTGGAAGGGGGTTAACAATTTATATTGATCCTGTTTATTCGCTTTTTATGTTAAAGATAGGCGAAACTGGTTTAAAATT